TGCTTTTCTTCCCAGAGCTCATATTCTCGCTTGCATCTTTCTTCAACTTCTTGGAAAGTAAAGCTAAGGTCTGTGTCACCATCATCTAGAAGAATGCAGGCATTAGAACTTGGAACCACTCATACTGTTTCCCCCCATAAAACTGTGTGGCCAGCTCCTGGTGGTTTTAAGAATTTGCACTATACCATAAAAACAAGGTGAATGGTTTTTTTGCCTGTGATAATCTATTTTAACATTCTGCACTAGAGGAGGTTGCTTCATCTTCAACATCCCCAACAATATAGCTCATATCATGCAGATGTAGAACATACCATGTATGGAAAATAACTGAAATCTCTGGCTAAACAATATTGATCTCAGAGACCTGGGCTAAGTCATGAGGATGAGTGATTCTCTGTGAGTCACTATCTTATAAGATTGTTTACCTGTCAAAGAACTTCTATCAGCAATTTCACTGGAAGCAATGTCTCCATTATCATTGGCCTCTATTGTATTATCAGAAGTCACGTTGATCTGTTGTTGTTCTTCATCTTCATCTTCTATTTCAGACAATACCTAAACAGCAACAAATATTTTCATGAGAGTGTAGTTGAGCTTGGAACTATCAAACTATACACAGAAGCAGTTATGTTCTCTGCTAGTCATCGTTCAAAATTGCAAGAGATATAGTAGGAGAAGTATAGGTAATGAACAGATGTTATTTGTTATGGATGAAAAGTTTCGGAGCACTTGTATTGGCCACAATCCAACTTGGTATGTGCAGAGTCTTGTTGTAAGAGCAGCAATCTTACTATTCAGTTGTTTAATGAGGAGGAGAACTGAATTAAATTCCTTTACTTTCCCTCCTAAGCTGCTAATCAGAAATATCACCGATTTTCAAATGGGGGTTTGTGTTTACTACCACAGCTAGATTGGTGAAAGAAAATGTGAATGCAATACCGCACTAGCTTGCATTTAAGACTTCTTATTGAATTAGGGATGTCTGCATCAAAGTCTACTTCAACATGCATATTGCCACAAGCAAAATATGAGACAAGTCTCCTACCCAACAATAGGTTTGTATTTGTATTACAGTTTGTATTTTAACAGAGATATATTCAAAATATATTTTTGAAGCAAGTTTAGAGCAACCACCAAGCTTATCAAATTATTTCTGTTATGACAATCAATGTAAGCCTATCTCTACATGTGTCACATTTTCTGCTATATTGTTATTGCTCTCTACTGCCAAAATCTAATCAGATCCTGAATTTTTTGCTACGTATGAAATTTTATTTTTGTCATAACTAGCCAGTTTCTAAAAAGAATGTCACTAGGAACAGTTTTTCTGGAAACATATATTTGAACTACGTATTAGTGCAAGGGGAAAAAAGAAATAAGAACACACACACACACACACACACACACACGGTGGGTTAAAAAAACCTATTTAAAAATATTTCCTTATATTTGAACTGGATTTTTTTTTTAAAGAGAATGGTAAATACTAAGGTTTTCTCAAATCAGGTGTGGGGAACTTTTGGCCCTCAGATGATGCTTGCCTACAAGTCTCCTGACCCTTGGCCATGCTTGCTTGGACTGGTGGGAGCTGTAGTTCAGCAACACCTAGACAGCCAAAAGTTCCCCATACCTATCTTAGATAATAACCAGATTATTCTCAAATAACATGTATATAAGCATGTTAGCCAAAGTTGAACAGGAAATTCATGCAGGTGAGTGAGAGGGCTGGTATCCATTTTCTATACACAGTACAGAAGCCAGTTTGGTGGCTTGAGGAAAGAAGCCACCAGGTCTGAAGCCAACAGAGAAACCCAGTTTTCTCACCCTTCTCTACCAACCCAACCCCAGGCAGATCTTCTCATAGCTGGACTGTTGTTTGATAAAGCTTAGATTCCTGGTGGTAATTCCCCCACACAAGGGTGGAAGCCCAACCCTTGGAGGCTGTTAGAACCTACAAGGTTCCTGAATGCTCTTGAGAATTGACCAGTGGTAAATGCTGATGATCTTTTCAAAGTCTTGTCTCACTACAGAATGGCAAGCTAAGACAGGAGGTTGACACAATTGCTTCTGAGCATCCTCTCCAGCACTGTGCAGTCCAAGTAGATCCTTGATATTCTGAGGAGCTAGAGGCTATGCAGAAAGCCTGATGAAGATTAGTTAGCACACATAACTGTGCCTACCCTGAGGCTGTGCAAATGACTAAGGCATATTTTGCAGCCTGCATTGCACCCCATAGCAGCTGGCCAGTGGAGCTATTCCACATGGTCCAGAAGTTGCTGACTCACACTCTGAAGGAACATCTTGTCCACATCATCTGGTCGCATAAACTGAAGCCAAACCCACAACACACCACTGATCCCACAACATATCACAGACTGTAGGAATGTTTGGCAAGTGGAATGAGCAGTGGCAGTAGCCCTAGTAAATATATATAGAGAGAATACCCTTTTCTTTAATTCTTCTGGGTCTTCATTATATTCAGAAGCCAACTCAGCCAAGCATTCTGAAGCATTATTAGGAACTACCTTGTATATATCACCTGCAAATAAAGAAATTATAATTTAGACACTGCAGAAGAAGTTACTGTTTAAAGCTTCAACTAACTCATTTCAGTGAGACATCCTACTAGCACATATATAAATAAGATAGTACTTCTTTTCAAATGGGCAGGATTTTTTTTTAGGCTGGATCATTATACATCTGACACTAAAAATAAGTCTCATACAAGTTCAGGCTTGCTTATTCTACCTTTAAAAGACTCATTAAAATTCCAATGAAAGGAATAGGTAAGTGTTTTATACAAATCATACTTAGGATATCTTAATAATCAAAGCATAATTTGTGGCAGGCCCAATGTTAAACAAGGGTTTCTATCAATCTCCTAAATTTGCACTCCCAGGTATTTTCCTGCTAATATTTACAAAAAATCTCCATAACAGTGATAAACAGACACTGCTACCCAAAATGAGTATTAACATCTGTCTATTTAAATATTTTGAATACTGCTAACTTACTTTTCCTAGGGTGGCGCTGTGGGTAAAACCTCAGTGCCTAGGACTTGCCGATCGCATGGTCGGCGGTTCGAATCCCCGCGGTGGGGTGCGCTCCCGTCGTTCGGTCCCAGCGCCTGCCAACCTAGCAGTTCGAAAGCACCCCGGGTGCAAGTAGATAAATAGGGACCGCTTACCAGCGGGGAGGTAAACGGCGTTCCGTGTGCTGCGCTGGCTCGCCAGATGCAGCTTGTCACGCTGGCCACGTGACCTGGAAGTGTCTGCGGACAGCGCTGGCTCCCGGCCTATAGAGTGAGATGAGCGCACAACCCTAGAGTCTGGCAAGACTGGCCCGTACGGGCACGGGTACCTTTACCTTTACCTTAACTTACTTTTCAGTTATAAATAATTCTAAAAATGTTTGAGTGCTGTAGTTTCTCTTGTAAAACATAAGCATCTTACTTGTACACCAGTAGCAGAACAAACTGACTAACTCACTTACTTGATATTTCATCGTTTTCCAAATCTTGCAAAATTAGCTTTTCTGCATTGTGGCTGCTCCTCTTCACAAAATTCAAATAATGGATAACTGATTCTGGTAGCTCATCTGAAATCTAATATACATTTTAAATTAAATTCTACGTTATTTTCATATTAGGCTTGTTTGCAGCTAAGGTATAACTCTAGGTGGAACTATGTAAGGTAGAAGTATTGGAATACAAGTGCTGCAGTCTCAAATCCTATTTATTTATTACATATTACCTTTCTGCTAATTCACTTAAAAGCACTTATTTGTACATGGTTTAAGTAAGTTTATAAAAAAATTAGATGAATTCATAGGGCAGCAGTGGAAAACCTTTAGCCCTCTGATGGAGTCCCTCTGAGAATTAGATGCTGGTAACAAACGGGGGACTACATTTATGTTATAATATGTTACTGTAGAACTTATATGCAAGTTTCTTTAGGGTCTAGGATACTAAGAAACAAGCCATCCACATGGTACCCTCCATGGCATATATTATCAACCAAACTAGTAAATATATCAATCTGCCAGAACTCTGTATACTGTATATGCCAAGTTTGTCAAGTATGCAGAAAGATCACTGTATGCCACCAAGTCCTGTGGAATACTTACTGGTTCGCTGTCACTTGAAGCTTCTGCTGATAAATCAGGATCAAGATTAGGATCATCTATTTCAGAGGATGAAAAACTGATTTTGCTTAATTCAAGTTCTATTTCTTCTTCAATTTGTCGATCATCATAATCTTCCTCCATTCCTTTTACTGTAACATGGAAAAGGCAAAAAGTAAAGAAATGCATGGGCTGCCGAACTGTTAGTTCTACGGCTAACATTATGTTGTTGTTTAAGACCATTCTAAAATAATATGGCATGCTATCCATCTCAAGTAAAGGTGGAGGTATAACTAGTGGTCTTGACAGTATGAGGAAAGGGCCAGGTAGGCAGTTGCTGAGGTTTAAGTTGTGGAGACATTACATTGCCTACCTTTGTCTAGTTGTTGTCACTGTCATTAACTGTGCTGCCTCCTGACTGGTTCATTTCCTTGTCCCATGCATAAAGACCATTGTGGCTTGATAACAATTGTAGCTAATGTATTTCAGTTGGCCAACCACTTTTCAAAAGCAACACTTTGCAAGGGCAATAAAAATGGGGATACAATGTGCCTGCTTTTATTTATTTATATACACTCAGGGATTGCTATATATATATATATATATATAGAGAGAGAGAGAGAGAGAGAGTGTAATAGGGAGACGGTTTAAAAACAAAACAAAACCACAACCCACTTGTGGGTTAACTGTCCTTAATCTTTTACCAGGGACAATTTACACTTAATGGCAATTATTAGTTTTTTATCTACATGGCCCTAACGAAGTAACGTGGCATTTTGCAGAGAAATGAAAGAGAAATGACAGGTTACTCCCTTAAAAAATCAGGTTATATCCACCGTCAAATAATAAATCTACCCAATACACACAACTCTCAGGATATATCCAAGTTTGAGGCACACTCACTGTGCACTAATGCAACGGAGTGACACTTGGCACGTCTTGGCTCCAAACAGAAGCAACTTAAGTCGTTAAAAAGAAAGAACTAGACGGCAGCCAGAGCCTCAAGCTTACAAGCGACACGTGCCCGCCAAGCCCTCAGAGCACTTGGACTACACGTCCCAGAGTGCATTGGGGTAAGCAAAGCATTAAGCCTTGAGCGGGCAGCGCTCCGTTGCACGCTGGGAGTTGTAGTTCTAGGCATCGCCCTCGCTCAACTGCCGCCCCGCTCTATCTTAGCGATCGAAACGGGTTCCTCCCCGGCTGTCTTGTCAGGAGAGGGAATCCGTCCCTGCTCTCGGCGCCGAGGACCGCTTCATCCCTCCCGCTTCCCGCCGCCGCTGAGCACTGACCTGCTTCAGAACCCGAGAGCTTAGAGCGGCTAACTTCAATGTTACAGGAAGTGTAGCCATGACAACCGCGAACAGCGCGCAGAAGGACGTCCTAGCTACGGAAGCCGAGAAAGTTCGAAATTAATTGACTTGGAATCGGAGCCCCGGGAGGAAACAAGGGATTTTTGAACGCCTTGGGAGGAGGGCGCGGGGATGCAGAGGAGCCAGCTGCACTTAGGATGCCTGGAAAGGCAAGACGCTGGCCTGTAGCTAGGGAGAAGGACACCTTTCTTCATCGCTTTGGCTTGTTTTTCTTCGTGGCACAGCTCCTGGGAAAAAATAAAAATGCTAGGCAGCCTCGTTGGTCCTTTAGGAACCTCCTCCCTCCAAACATGCAACAGTGGTGCAATACAGGGCTATGAAACCTATTTATTTGCTTTAATAAATGTGTAAAAGATTTGCAGCCTGAAGCCCATAGAAGCGGTACAAAAAGGTAACAATGAAGCAAAGTACGAAAAGTGTACTTTGAAGTCCTGAAAAAGCAATCAATTTCTACAGATTCTAACAACAAAACAAAAAACTTTCCCACAAAGTCTGAAAACAAAACCCTTTCAGCGGGCGTGCAATGAATATTTCACAAGTGACTCAGGCACACCTCAGGGAAAGCCCCAAACCAAAACAGAAAAGCTGGACGTGGGCAGAGGATGGCGACCAAGATGCTCAAGAGCAGTAGTCAGCAAACTTTTTCAGCAGGGGGCCGGTCCACTGTCCCTCAGTCCTTGTGGGGGGCCGGACTATATTTTGGGGAAAAAATATGAACAAATTCCTATGCCCCACAAATAACCCAGAGATGCATTTTAAATAAAAGCACACATTCTACTCATGTAAGAACACCAGGCAGGCCCCACAAATAACCCAGAGATACATTTTAAATAAAAGGACATATTCTACTCATGTAAAAACATGCTGATTCCCGGACTGTCCGCGGGCCGGATTTAGAAGGCGATTGGGCTGGATCCGGCCCCCGGGCCTTAGATTGCCTCAAGGGTCTGGAAACCAAGCCATATGAGGAACAGTTGAGGGTGTTACATATGTTTAGCCTGGATAAGGGGAGATGGAGAGGGGCTACGATGGAAGGTTGAGCAAGCTTGTTTTCTTCTGCTCTGGAGAGTAGGACCCGAACCTATGGCTTCAAATAACAATAAAGGAGATTGCAACTAAATATCAGAAGAACGTAGCTGCGATTCCTGCATTGGATTCCTGCACGGCCCTTTGGCCCTTCCAACTCTACAGTTCTATGATTCTACATTTCAGTAGGCATGTAAACATCATGATGCTAAGCACTTCTCTAATTTTAGCTAAAAGCTCTGTTTCTAGACATGGGACACCTCTGGGAGCATGCAGTACTCTCAGCTGCATGAGAGTACCTCTGTGAGTCAGGAAGGGTGTTAAATCATGAAGAATCTAAGTCTCCTCACTTCAGAAATTCTCCTTATACAGGTAAAACTCGGAAAATTAGAGTATTGTGGGAAAATTCATTTATTTCAGTAATTTAACTTAAAAGGTGAAACTAATATATGAGATAGACACAGACTGTGGAAACTTTTGCATCTCATTTGAAAACCAAGGACCTAGAGTCTGGAGGAAGAATGGGGAGGCACACAAAGTCAGATACTTGAAATCCAGTGTGAAGTTTCAACAGCCTGTGTTGATTTGGGGAGCCATGTCATCAGCTGGTGTTGGTCCACTGTGCTTCATTAAGTCCAGGGTCAATACAGCCGTCTACCAGGAGATTTTGGAGCACTTCATGCTTCCTTCCGCAGACGAGCTTTATGGGGATGCTGACTTCATTTTCCAGCAGGACTTTGGCACCTGCCCACACTGCCAAAAGTACCAAAACCTGGTTCAATGCCCATGGGATTACTGTGGCCAGCAAACACGCCTGACCTGAACCCCATAGAGAATCTATGGGGCATTGCCAAGAGAAAGATGAGAGACATGAGACGGAGCAATGCAGAAGAGCTGAAGGCTGCTATTGAAGCTTCCTGGTCTTCCATAACACCTCAGCAGTGCCACAGGCTGATAGCATCCATGCCACGCCACATTAAGGCAGTAATTGATGCAAAAGGGGCCCAAACCAAGTACTGAGTACATATGCATGCTTCTACTTCTCAGAGGTCCAATATTGCTCTATTTGCAGTCCTTGTTTTGCTGATTTCATTTAATATTCTAATTTTCTGAAATTGTTAATTTGGGGTTTTCATCAGCTGTACGCCATGATCATCACAATTATAACACATAAAGGCTTGACATATCTCGCTTTGCATGTCATGAATCTATCTCATATATTAGTTTCACCTTTTAAGTTGAATTACTGAAATAAATGAACTTTTCCACGATATTCTAATTTTCCAAGTTTCACCTGTAAAATGGCACTGAAGGCTTTGTCACTGATAAAGCAATATCATTCACACAGAGGTGAATACTAACTTCGATAAAATTGCAATAATTTATTTTGAGGTTTTATGTGATTTTCATGGCCAAGAGTTCAAATGGCAAAAAGTGGCAGGCCTTTTTGTTCCTTTCATTAGGTTATTCTAGTGTGTCATTACTGAATGCTTTTGCTTCATGATATTTCTTAAGTAATATCACCCATGAGTTAGTAAGTTTTTCCCTAAATTATATTTCAGCAAAGTATCAATTTCAAAACATTCCGAAGACTAGGATAACATTTACAGAGAGTACAATAATAAAACATTCTGATTTTTGATATATATTTTTTTTAAAAAGCTCTCTTAAGAGGCCTTGGAGAATATGTGTGAAGTTATGTATATGAGAACTGAACTGAATCCAATAAACATTGTTTTCTTACCTTTCCCCCTATATGGGAGTCTCACTAGTGTTTTTTTGAGGTTGGGCTTCATGTGCAAGGTAAGTTGTAAGTGAGTACACTATGGGAGACTCTGGATTCTATATATTTACGAGAGGTAGAAATTAAGCCCAAGTGACTAAACTTACCATTTCTATGGTTTGGGCACATCACTGGATTTGTAAGCACCTTAACTCGTCTCTAAGGTTTTTTTAAATTGTAGAAAGGAGAGAAAGAAAGAGAATGGTTCTTGGAAGCAAATTAAGTGTAATGGAAGTGTCAAACAAACTAAACATCATTTACAAAGACATGTAAATAGTAACCTCAGTAACAAGGAAGTAAATCCTCATTAACACAGCATACTGTGTGGCAAATCTAAACAGTGGAATTTGGAATTAACATTAAAATTGGAGTATCTGCGAAGAACTATATTGTGGGTTTGCTTCTTTAGAGGTGAGAGGAAAATAATATTTTGCTGTGTGTATTATCAGATAAGTGGCGCCAGAAGTTTCTTATTTGTTTTACTTATTAATAATATCTGTCAGATGTCTTATAGAACAAGCTCTCAGGGTGTCATACAAAAGGATACAATTTTTAAACCCCACAATTATTCATGCATCCACCCAGTTTGATTTGCTTAAAACATTTTTGTTAAGCCAATCCTATCCAGACATGCAGAAATTATGTGTGCTTTATCCATTTCTAGCTACTGTTGAATTTCAGTCTTTTCAATATTTTAAATGCCTGTCTTTAACTGTTGGGTTTTTTTGGGGTGGTGATGGTTATATTTTGATGTTTATTTTATATTTCGTAAACCACTTGCAATCCAACAGCATGTAACATTAAATAAATAAATAAAGTCATTAAGATCCTCACTGGAAGAATCTGCTATTCCAAATATAATTTTACACCAGGTTGCTCCTCTCTTCCCACTCTCTATAATGTTGCAAGACCTTACACAAAGAGTTAATCCTAGGACTGATTTGCTCCTAGAACATGCTTTCTAGGCGCAGGTGTGGGATTTCTAGGTCAGTGTCCAAGCAGAGTCGTCGTCCCCCCCCCCCCCCCGCCCTATGCTTTCCCTGGGAAAACCCACATTTTACTCCTAATTTGGAACAAAGGGCAATACAGTGGTGCCTCGCAAGACAAAATTAATTTGTTCCGTGAGTTTTGTCGTCTTGCGATTTTTTTCGTCTTGCGAAGCACGGTGTCGGGAAAGTTTTGGAAAAGCTTCAAAAATCACCAAAGTCTTAAAAAACCTCAAAAAAGGCTACCACACCGCGTTCTATGAGTTGCTCCTCGAAGTCAAGTTGCAACTGTATTAACGGTGTTAAGAAAAAGGAAACAAACTTGCAAGACGTTTCCGTCTTGCGAAGCAAGCCCATAGGGAAAATCGTCTTGCGAAGCAGCTCAAAAAACAAAAAACCCTTTCGTCTAGCGAGTTTTTTTGTCTTGCGAGGCATTCGTCTTGCGAGGTACCACTGTAACCGGAAAACCTGGTTGCCATTTGCTCTGATTTTGTGGTAAAATGTGGGTTTCCCCAGGGAAAGTGGTAGAAGAAGGAAAAACCCTGGAAATCCTAGACCTGTGCCTAGATTTTCAGTTGAGGTTTAGGTCCTCTTCTGTCACAGAAACTGCTTTGATCACCCTGTATGATGGGCTTTGTCGGGAGAGTGACACAGGGGAAATGTGTATCTGTTAATTCTGCTTGACCTGTCAATAAGCAAGACAGAAAAGTGGACTGCAGAAGACTTTATGTCCTTAAATATTTTCTGTGTTAGAAAACACGGATATATTTTACTGGCAATATACATTTAAAACTAATGTGAAATATGCATTTCAGTTTTATATAAATATCACAATGTGCAACCATTGTTTCCAGGTGCCATTGAAATGAAGAGCAAAATGAGACGAAGTGAAAAACTCTTCATAATAAAATACTTCTTAAACATCCTCAATGGAATTTTCTTGGTAAGAAGTTTTCATGTACTGTTAGACAGGAATTAAACATTAACTGTAAGTTCTGTAGCATAATTCAGATACAAACAGCCATTATGTGTTGCTTTCAGGTGTTAGGTCTTCTGCTTGTGACTTTTGGTCTTTGGATATCGCTAGACAGAAACAGGTTTTTCAGACTTTTGCGTGAGTATAAGGGCCTGCCCAGAACTTTCTCTAACCTTTAAAGGAAAGCGTATTCCATTTAACCATTAAAATGTTGACTTCCCACAAGATGG